ACACCAATACTTCAAGTAATCAAGTTAAAATGGATAATATAAGCACACAAGTCCCATTCACATTTCCATTTGCAAGTTTTAAACAAGTTCAGTCCATATTATAACACCAATACTTCAAGTAATCAAGTTAAAATGGATAATATAAGCACACAAGTCCCATTCACATTTCCATTTGCAAGTTTTAAACAAGTTCAGTCCATATTATAACACCAATACTTCAAGTAATCAAGTTAAAATGGATAATATAAGCACACAAGTCCCATTCACATTTCCATTTGCAAGTTTTAAACAAGTTCAGTCCATATTATAACACCAATACTTCAAGTAATCAAGTTAAAATGGATAATATAAGCACACAAGTCCCATTCACATTTCCATTTGCAAGTTTTAAACAAGTTCAGTCCATATTATAACACCAATACTTCAAGTAATCAAGTTAAAATGGATAATATAAGCACACAAGTCCCATTCACATTTCCATTTGCAAGTTTTAAACAAGTTCAGTCCATATTATAACACCAATACTTCAAGTAATCAAGTTAAAATGGATAATATAAGCACACAAGTCCCATTCACATTTCCATTTGCAAGTTTTAAACAAGTTCAGTCCATATTATAACACCAATACTTCAAGTAATCAAGTTAAAATGGATAATATAAGCACACAAGTCCCATTCACATTTCCATTTGCAAGTTTTAAACAAGTTCAGTCCATATTATAACACCAATACTTCAAGTAATCAAGTTAAAATGGATAATATAAGCACACAAGTCCCATTCACATTTCCATTTGCAAGTTTTAAACAAGTTCAGTCCGTATTATAACACCAATACTTCAAGTAATCAAGTTAAAATGGATAATATAAGCACACAAGTCCCTTTCACAATTGCAAAGTTAAACAAGTTCAGTCCATGCCTCGTAGAAATACAAACATTTCATCGAGGAAACGCCTGTGTTGGCCTCGTATAAACAATTCCACATTCACATACTCACTACAAATATTAGTGAAAATACTCCTCTCGATCGCTTTTTCTCCTTGAATTTTGCTGTAAAATTCCCGCCTGGGGCCCCAAAATGTTACACGGGTTCTTCTTTCGATATATTTTATATTTAAACGTTGACTTAGTTCACTTTAGTAGTGCTTTTCGTTTTAAAACTAGCTCAAAACCATTCTATTTTTAACATACAAAAGCCATGCCGTTTCTCTACATGCGCCCGCGATCAACTTGACCGTCACTGCTCTACTTCGTGAAAACTAAGTTATTCATCTAACATATGCACGTCACATGTGTAAACTGATAAATCATATATTTCGAAATAGAATCATCGTGAAGTGAACAACCGATCAGACTCTCCCGACATATACTTTACAAGAACGCCGCAAATAGTACGAAATTTCAAGTTCGTTAAATGCAGAGTATAATTCTGATCAAGACTGACGGAACAAGCAAAGTTGAATAATTTCACTCAATTTTGCAAAAATGTTTTTTTAATATGGGTTTATTGGAAATCGCACAGCATGGCTTCGTTGCATATCATTGAATAGTTTCACAACGACACAGGGATTTTTTTGATTATTCAAAACATTGTGAGATTAAACTGTGCTATTTGTTTCATCTGACGAATATAGACTCAGCGTCCATGCGTTTTAAGTTAAATCGCTATTAAATTTAAAAAGACTTTTATTACAAGATGTCAGTATCTCAAGAGTACAGGCTTGCCCAATCACTTGTTTGGAGTGACCAAGAGTTTAGCTTAGCCGAGTTTGTCAAACGGTACGAGCTACCCCAAGTTGTGTTAGTCGTAGACGGTTATTGTGGCGATAATGAGCGGACCACTTTTAGTAGTGGTCTAATTCTGACTCTACATAGTATGAATACGGCCAGTAAAATAGTATGCCAGCTTCCTCATAGTAATGCCGTGGTGGTTCCAACAAGCTGCCCGCTTAAAGCTGACATGATACCTATGGACTGTCGGGACACGAAATTGACCGCTCATCAATTGTCAACAACATACCAGAAAATCAAATACGTTCGACTTATTGACGTAGGCTCAATATGGAATAATAATTCGTTAGATACCTTAAAAATCAACGATATCCTACAGATTAAAAAAATCGACAGCAAGAGCACGGTCATACGATGTAAAAACCTCACAAGTGCACAAGATGTGTCGATTTTAATTGATTCCACTGCCGTATTTGTGCCATTGTTGGACTCAAATACCTACAACTTGGCTGAGATTCAGAAAAAATTCGGACTCCCGGCTAAGGTTCGCTTTTCAGATAAAAGAGCAGAAAGGAGATTGCGTTCAGTACCTGGAAAGAGAAAGCCTTCGACGTCTTCGACATATTTGTCAGATTTGGGTCAGATGACAGCCATTGAAGAAATACAAGAAAGCGACGTAATTGCTACGACTACGTGTTCCAACCTTGAAGAGAAGGTAGGTGTATATTTAGTGTTTTGTTCAAACTAAACTAACTTAAGGGCCATTTCTTCAAAGGTCACGGCGAGAAATATGCATTTATTATTTTATTCAAACTAAAGTAACTTTATTTAATAATATAGGTCCAGTAGGGATCTCGCAGTCGTCAAAGCAAGCGTCTTTCACCTCTGAGATCGTGGGTTTGATTCTCGCTATACGGACTCATGTGAAAAGAGTCTGTCAACGCTCTGCCGAAAGTCGTGGGTTTTCTCCGGGTGCTCCGGTTTCCTCCCACAGGGAAAGTTGACAGGGTGTGTTAGGATAAACAAAGTTAAGAAAGTAATACCTGCACAATTGTTGTAAAAATAAATAGTCTAGGCTAGGGTACTTGATGTAATCGATCACTGAATAGCCCCAATTATGGGGAGTGAACTGAATAATAATGTAATAATGTAAACCAAAACTAAACTTACTTTATTTACAACGGGCAGCTCGACTATGATAAGGTCATGAATTTTTACACCACGTTTATTAAAATTGGTCTAATAGACACAATGATATGGCTGTTTAAATTAAGTGGTCATCAGTCCTATTGATACCGGCTTTACAGAACTAATGCATGATGGGTGAACCAGACTGTATTTTAAAACAGTCATAATATTCATTTGGTTCTACTAGACCGATTTTGTTAATCTTAGTTTCAAAATTCATCTCTTCGATTAAATTTTCGATGTGTAGAAATCTGAAACATACATTGCATTTTTTCGGACATCGTTTTTTTTTAATCAAATTTTAATCATTCTACCATTTTAAGGTATGCCTGAATGTTCCAACGACACTGGACATCACAATAACAGTGGCTGAGGGATTTCTAAAGGGTGATGAAACCTACCAAAGAGTTGTCAAAACCCTAGACAAACAATTCAACCGCACAAATCTCAAATCTTTCGACGACTTGGACGTCTACGAACATATGGACACGGTCAGAAAGACAATGGAGGAAATGGTATTTTTTGAAGACGCTTCAACGGAAGTCGTGGAACGTGCTCGCGAACATTCGCAACGTGTTGAACGTAGAAAGTCTAAGAGATTGTCCTGGTTTGAATGGCCACCGAGACCTCATCTCAGGCGACGAGAAAGTGCGAAACAAAAGGTAACTAGAAGACATGCAAAAATTAGTTGAGTGCCAAAAAATGAAATACAGTGCCAGAAAAGAAATACGTAGCAAGCGTCAAAACAAAACACATTTTGATTTACGTTTAGTGACTTTTGATAGTAAAAACTTGTAGAAAGTTGCCGTCATTCAAATGAATAACTATTTATTTCGTATGTATTTCATACATGAATGTGACCATGAATTTGCTTCTGCATAATTTTTCTCGTGCATATTGATGATAAGTAATTAATATTATTATACATTGTAGTTGGTAAAAGCAATTTGATTGGCTAAGAGCTTGCAGTTAAATCGCGCAAACACGCAACCTACACAAATTTCAGTTATCTGCTAGCAGATAACTCAGTTATCTGCTAGCAGATAACTGGATTTTGTGTAGGTTGCGTGAAATTGAATGAGTGTACATTTCAAATGAGTGTACATTTCAATTTTCAAATGAATGTACATTTCATAATTGTAATGTTTACTTTAACAAGTAAATATTTTAATACGTTAACATCTTAATGATAATATGTTTCTTTTATATTTGTAATTAATTCAACTGTTGGACTTCCGGAGACTTGTTTATAGAAACGTTTTACTTGAACAGCTTTGCCAGAAATCATATTGAATATAACGCTTACCGAGACCTTGATAATTTTGCATATCGCAAAAACCGAATTCAATAATTGTTTTATTATACATTTGAAGAATAACAAACATAGTATTAAAATACTATGTTTATTATTCTTCAAATGTATAATAAAACAATTATTGAATTCGGTTTTTGCGATATGCAAAATTATCAAGGTCTCGGTAAGCGTTATCAGCCTCGCCTTCGGCTCGGCTGATAACGCTTACCTCGACCTTGATAATTCCGCATATCACAAAAACCTCATCCAATAATTGTTAATTATTGGTTTCTCGTCCAATTTGGAAAAACACACACTTGTAAATTTGACTTCATGATATTTGCACTCTTCCTCTATGAAAAAAAAAACTCAATCGTGCATGTTTTTTTTTCCAAATTGCACTCGAAACCACCATATTACTATACAAACTCGAACGGTCTTCCGCGTAGCCGTAGGTATAGATAACACCAGAAATCTGCGGATTGAGAAGGACTCCACTACCTAAAAAATACAAGTAAAACTTCGACGTTTCGAGAGAAGGCCCCTCGTCGGGAAGTGCCTTCTCAGCATTCGCTCTAAAGGTCGAAGTTCTGCTCGTATTTTCAGCTAGTTGAATCATAGTTAATAGAGGAGATGGTTTGGAAACTCATTAGCATTACAATGAAATCACAATAAACCTCATTATCTTATGTTGTTCAGGTTTATGCAAAAATGTGGTCTTTCATCGTCACGTGCGTATTGTATTTTTCCCAAGTCAACCAATAGGAATGTTCAAAATGACCTATTGTTAAAGTCACTGATGGGCAAAACAAAACCGTTGCTATTGGCTGGTTGAGCAAAAATACAATACGCACGTGACGATGAAAGACCACATTTTCGCATAAACCTGAACAAAAACATAGATGAGGTTTATTGTAATGCTAATGAGTTCAGTTCCAAACCATCTCCTCTATTAACGATGGTTGAATCCGTCTGGTGCACAAACTCCAATTTTTCATTTCTTGCTTAGTTCTTAAAATATTTTCAATAAAAACAACGAGCTCCCTGAGCTTTTCTATCTTATTAACGATGGTTTTATTGATTTCACAAGCAGGGTTATATTACAATTAGTAGATGTTTAAAATGTTTTCAGTCAATTTTTTATTTGAAATAGTGACCAAATTACAATTTTGGGCTTGGTATAACATTTACTTGACCCGTTGTGACGTAATGCATACATATCCACAACAATCCAAGATGGCGGATAGCTCGCTGATTTATGATTATTTCAAGAACTACAAAACATGATTTGAAAAAGCTGTAAAAAAGTTTTCTACATAATTAATTCAAGGCTCTTTTAAATATAGGATAGTGTTTATTTATAGCCACATCCCTTTAACCAACCAACAACTAACTAAATAATTGAATAGGAGAACTACTTAAAAATGTTGGCCCATGACGAAAATTACGTACTGTTTAACAAACGAGCAGGAGTGTTTTATTAGGTTTAAAGTCACGAGCCCGCAGCGCGAGTGGCTTTAGACCTAATAAAACACGACCTGCGAGTTTATTAAACGGCTTCAAACACGACTACAAATTCAATAGATATACTGCCTTATTAGTATTCTTTATATAAAGAATACTAATGAGGACACGGCTACAATAGATACTGCCTTATTAGTATTCTTTATATAAAGAATACTAATTAGGAGTGTTTTATCAGGTTTATAACCACTGCACGTGACATATTATGGTTGATATGATTTGCCAATAAGCTCGGTTATGAATTATTAATGAGTGTTTGAAATACTTATAGCAAATCATTTTAATTTATGTTTTCTAATTTATTAATTATTTTTACAAGGCGCCTCCTGAAGGACTGCCGACAGCAGGACAGAAACCCGACCCAAAACCAGACAAGAAATCGAAGAATATAAAGTTGAGGTCCCTATATAGCACTCTGAGACGTAAACAAAGCAGTAACAAGACTCCCTCAAATGAAAGCCACTCAAGTGCCCACAATTATGAAAAGCCCACTGATCGACCAGTGCAAGATCATGATGGTATTGACCACATCTATGAAGAAACGGCGTCTCAAAATTTAGATTCTGAAGATAATAACTACACAGATTTGGATACCACATACACACCAGTACGCCCACGACTTTATGAAACATATAAAACAGAGGCTCCTAAAGTCAAAAAGGTAAGCTCACTGCCACTGTAATACACTACACTGCCAGGGAAGCATGCATGGTGACAAATAAGGTTAGCACGCTGCCCCTCACTGCTGAGCAATCCTTTACAGCCAGTGAATAATAAAAATTACAGAAATACCATTCTTCACCAAACACTGTTTACCGACGCTAAGATGAATATGTTTTAGCATACTGTATATCATCACAAAATAAAAATGACCAAGAAAACGTCAAATCGTTACGTGTTTAAATTAGTCATACTCAGGGCCGCCCAGAGGGGGGGGGGGCAAAGGGGGCAAATTGCCCCGGGCCCCGAGTTGCTGGGGGCCCCTGAAAAATTTTTGTAGGGCCCCAGACTTTTTTGTGTGTTAAATATTTCCGCGCAAAGGACAAGATATCTGTTTTCTTGGGCTAAGTACCGAATTTTGGCATAAAAAATGAGATAAAGTCCCTCGAAAGCATTTGCAACGTGCGCGTCCGGCAAAATTTTGTACTCCGGAAAAAATTTTTTACCCCTAAAATGGTACACTGACCGAAAATTTTTTTGCGACGGGTGGCGGGGGGGGGGAGGTTGTTATCCGGAAAAAAATTTTTCCGGGAAAATTTTTTTAGATAGGGGCCCCTAAAATTTGCCCCGGGCCCCCGCCAACCTCTGGGCGGCCCTGGTCATACTATCAAGTAAGTATTTTCTTGTGCATATTAACAACAGGGTGGTTCACTCCCGAGAGAAATGATCCAGTCGCGATCGGCCTCAAACAAAGTGAAGTCAGTATCAAAATTATGCGTTTGTTTACATACGGTGCTTTGCGAAGCAAACTAAATATTTTCGAAACTCGGAGACATATCAAACTCAAACTATTGTCCCCAGTGCTGAGTGGAAAATTTGCTCAAGTGGGGTCAAGCATCTCAGAAATAATATGAAGAAATAATACGTATACTTATTTCGCGAGTTTATGAACGAACTATAAACACTCGCCAAGGGATGAAGTTTCGATTTACTTTCCAAACATGGAAGTATCTATATGTCACAATTCCGTGTTTGACTGTTTGCACTTTATTTAATTTGGAAATTAGGTTCTGCAAGGTCATATTCACGGGTGATATTCTATATTAGGGAGAATTTTAAACTGTTATGCATTCAGTAATGAATCAGGAACGCCTCGGTGAACTCTTGACTCTTGCGTGTGAGCGCGATCACACACACACACGATCGATCTTAATGAAATCGCTAATCCGTGGTCAAAACTGACTAAGCGCAGATACTTAAGGGGGAGCTTCACCCCAATCGTACTTCAAAATGGACAAAACTTTAACAATTGTTAGGAGGCATATTTTTAAGCAAAATATGCATAAACTATATATTGTTAGAAACTAGAGATCTTCAGCTATCAGCTGAGACAAAAAGTTTTCCGGTTCGGTGTATCGGACTGAAATTTGACACCAAAGAAGCGAGTAGTATATGGAAAACTGGATTTTACAGGCCACTTTTGCCCCCCCATAAAATTTCACATAATATGTGATGTATCTAAGTGAAAATGCACCTTGTGGTAGCTAAGATATTGAACTATGCTCCTATGAGCCATTTTTTTGTAATTCACCATGGTTGCTATGGTAACGGATAAAACAGATCGCATATACACTTTTCACTATAAATCCTGTTAGAAAATAAATATAAAAAAAATGGCTCATAGTTGCATTCTACATACCTTAAACTACATCTGTGCCAAAAATGGGAAATTTTCATTAAAACAGTAACAAGAAAAGCTAGGGGGGCAGTTGACGTGCGGCCAAATATCACATTTTGAGAAATAGACAGTTAAAGTTTAATTTCCGTTGGAACTTGTTGTTTGAGTGTTATAAGAGTGTTTGAGGCTCTATTCTTTTCTTGGCAGCTTGCTTTTGCCCTTTTTACCACTACTTTTCATTGTCGTCCCCTTTCTCTTAGTTGAACCACTCAAACAATCCTCGTTAAATGCCGCGCTCTCATATGTTACTCATTTCCGTGCCTTCGATCTTGCCTCTTCAGCCAATTTTGCCTGTTGAATCTTCTGTCTTGCTTCCTTGAACTTCATCTGGGTCCTTGTATTTGCTTGTTTTACTCTCTTGTCATTCTTTCTCCCACTTCCAGTTTTTGTATAAAAACCAGCATACATTTTCAGCTCTTTCATTACATCAAGTCGACCAGCCGCGCCAATGTTCAATATTTCTTCCAAGACTTTTCTTGTTGCTAGATTCACCGATTGATTGTGTTTTTGGTAAGCACTATCACTATAAACTGGAGGGCCAATGTTCAAAATGTCACAAATAGTTGAAAGAATTTCCCAACCTAAGCCCAGCTCACCCATAGGAAAATTAGTTCTACATCAAAAGAACATGCCTTTCCCTCAACTGGCTTCTATGTATCCATGTCAATCCTCTGCACTCAAAATAATAATAAACTAAGTACTGCTCAGTCCAGCACGTTTTGCAGCATCTTCAGAAGTTATAATGTTTTCATTTTTGCACTTATGCATGTTCTCAACTGTTTTCCTAATGTTTTCAATACAAACAATCCGATATCCTTCTTGTCCCTGTGAAGTTTGCCTTGCAGTTTATAATATCCCTTCAATTTCAGGAGTAAATTTGAGGTGATTTTAAATTAGCTTTCTCCAGTTTCTTTGCCGATGTGACTTCTCATCAGTTTTATTCAATAAATCGTCGTCATATTAGTCTTCATTTTACTCTTCTGATCCAGATCGGGTGTTAGATTTGAGAGCCATGAACTTTCCTTCAAAACATCGCCATCTTCGCAAAAATCAGAGAATCGTTTCCCTTTGAAACGGGCTTTTTCTTTGATTTGTTTGTCACACGAAAGTTTGTTCCTTCTTTGGAACCTTTTGGCATTATTACAAACCAAAAATGCAACAAAATATAGCGACAAAATAGAAAATTTAGCGGAATATATTCTCAAAGCTCATGTAAATGAGTAAAATTATGTAAATAACAAAATTATGCAATTGTAGCATGTCCCTATGTGCCTCACATATCCATAATACACACCATTGGCATAGGTAGCCCTGTATAAATTTTTTACATTGAAATCGCACAGTAAAACGACTTTTTTAGAGGATTTTTGAAGCTCGTTTCCATGGTAACCTGGTGTAAACATTCAATGAAATCTCACATCCTTTCTCTAAAGTCTATTTTTTTCCGTAAAAAGTATGGAAATTTAAATAAAGACTTCACTAGTTGATAAAATACATGTTTAGGTATCCTATCATGATGTTTTAGATATTTTGACATTTTCATCCTAATCGACTAAATTTTGAGGTGAAGCTCCCCCTTAATAAAAATATGAAGTTTCACAGCAAACTGTACGTATTCTTGTATAAAATTCCTAATAAATAACAATTATGACGTAATTTCAATGCTTTGTACTCAATTTTTTATTGCAACACGCCAACTCATCAGGAGTCGGTCTGAATTCACATTTCAGTGGTGGGTCGGTCTCATTTCGTGATTACACCCCCCACCCCCCAGTAAAAATCGATATGTTCGCCTCTGTGCACAGAGATGTCAGAGATCTCCATACATACTAAATATTATTTCACATACAGACTACCAGCCTACCATCAATACACAGTATCCCCCTACCATCAACACCACAGACCACCAAACCACTACCTCAATTACCAATCAAGCCACCACCCCAAACTGAAGAAGACAAGCAAGCAATCTATGAAGCAATTTCTCGATTTCCTCAAGACCTATCAGGCCTAGGTGTCGCTGACGTTAGTAGACTGCTTGGGTATTTAAATTTGAGTGACTACGTGCAGACATTTGAAAATGAATTGATTGATGGAATGATGTTGGTCGGCTTGGACCAAGAGTCGTTAGAGTCGTTGGGCGTAAAACCATTTCATTGTAAGAAATTGTTGGACTTTATCGGTGGTTGGCGTCCGAGAGCTTAGTAATGAACTAATATAAATTTTATCTTGGAGTTGTTGGACAATCGAACGTGCTCCTGGGAATTTAAAATATACAGTATAGCTTAGGAGCATATTAACTGCATAAAAACTGTCAACTGAACCAAATTAAAGTTTTAAATAACTTCGTCATGCATAAAATTCACTTCTATTCTGTTTTACGCACCCGTTGGTTCAGCATTAAGGCTGATTTCCACTGTTGCGTTTTTCATACGCACGTATACGCACGTAAAACTTTAAATCCGTTTAAATGTTACTTATGAAATAACCAAATAAATAAAGCAACAGAATTTAGTGTTGCGCAAGTTTTAGTATGCATTTGTTATAACTTATTTGTAAAATATTTAAAAAATAGAAGGATTCAAAGTTTTACGTGCGTGTACGTGCACTGTAAAAACTGATAGGTTAAAACAACCTATTTCTAAAGGTTACAACCAATAATTAAAGGTTGTTTTAACCAATTGAATGGGTTAGAACCGATTTAAATTAGTTAAAATAACCTATTATTATCAGGTCAAATTTTGCGACCAATAAAAATAGGTTAATTTAACCAATCTTTTTGGTTAAGCAAATTTACCGATTGGTTATTATTCCCAAATAGGTCATTATAACCATTATGATTAGGTCAAAATACTGAAAACTAAACTAACCTATATGAAATATGTTGAAATATTTAGTTCGACTTATGACATATACTTTCGGCAATTTCAAGGAGTTATTCTCACTTCACTCATTTAAAAGCCATTTATTAAATCGTATTGTAGAAGTGAAATAGTGAGTAATTTTCCACCAAGTTTTTACTCGGCCTGTGTATTATAACTCGACCATTACACATAGGAATGACAAAAACTACCTAGAATTAGGGCGATATTTTCTATACAAATTCGTAGTGAAGGACTGCAGTCCGTGTAAAATCAACCCAAGATTTAATTCAGCTGGTTGACGCGCCGTTTTTCTCGAATATTGCCAAGTCAGATTCTTGTAGTTGTATTACAAGTATATCGGACCATATCGGCTTATTGTTCGATCGCACGCGACGATCGAATGTAGCCAGAAATTGTCAGCGAGTTTTTCTTGTCAAATTAATTTAACACCAGCATTGCTCTCATCTATATTTTTTGCTGCGTAAATCTCTATTATAATTACCCGCGTTTGTCAGAGATTCTGTAATTAATTTGAACTTGTGGAATGTTTTGCTTGCTGAATATAATTTTCAACAAGTGGAAATTCCAAACTTTCAACCAATTAACATGCTTAGAATATATCACGTGTTGTAGTAATTCGATCTGTATGACACATTGACAACAAGCGCCAAGTTCGATCTTTTGAGAGCAAGCATTCAAACATAGAAGATTTTTATTCAAATTTTCTATTATAAAGTTCGAAAGACCTAGTAAAATACATGGAATTTGAAAGGTATGTCTATTGTGTATTTATTCATTTGTATGCGGATAGTTACTTGACTTACTGTAGTTATATTTTTATTCAAATCGAAGGCCTGTATTTTATATTAGTCGCTTCGCCGCCGATTCACTGAAGGCATCTGGACGTTCAGTTGTAAATTTTCGATTAATTTCTATTAGCAGAAGTCTATAAGTCTAATCTACAGTCTCCACGTATATGTGTTGTTAAGAAAATCGTATAGCTTATTTGTGTGATATGCATTTTGTATGTTGTAATTTTCTGTTAAATATTTGCTATAAAGAAGATGCTTGTGATGTTACTTAGGGCTAGTGTATATCCACACCGGGCAAGCTTGAAAAATATGCCTGTCCATGGTGGGAATCGAACCTACGAGCTTTGGAATACTAGCCCAATGCTCTGCCAACTGAGCTACGTGGTCAGGTCGGTTCGAGTATGTGATATTTCGGAACAGAATCTAGTTCCTTTGATACCAATGTAATTTAGTAGTCATGATATTTTCTGTGTTGATGCAATGTACTCAGGTGAATATATGCTTGTGATGTTACTCTGAGACTCAGAGTAACATCACAAGCATATATTCACCTGAGTACATTGCATCAACACAGAAAATATCATGATGAGTGTATATCCACACCAGGCAAGCTTGAAAAATACGCCTGTCCACGGTGGGAATCAAACCTGTGGACAGATTTAGAACTAGATTCTGTTCTGATTAATATCACATACTCAAACCACAGTTAAGGACTTTCCTCGAACCAACCTGACCGCATAGCTCAGTTGGCAGAGCATTGGGCTAGTATTCCAAAGGTCATAGGTTTGATTCCCACCATGGACAGGCTTATTTTTCAAGCTTGCTCGGGGTGGATATACACTCAGTGTAATATCACAAGCATCATATTCACCTGAGTGCATTGCGTCAACACAGAAAATATCATGATGAGTGTATATCCACACCGGGCAAGCTTGAAAAATACACCTGTCCACGGTGGGAATCAAACCTGTGGACAGATTTAGAACTAGATTCTGTTCTGAAATATCACATACTCGAACCACAGTTAAGGACCTTGCTCGAACCAACCTGACCGCATAGCTCAGTTGGCAGAGCATTGGGCTAGTATTCCAAGGGTCATAGGTCTGATTCCCACCATGGACAGGCATATTTTTCAAGCTTGCTTGGGGTGGATATACACTCAGTGTAACATCACAAGCATCATATTAACCTGAGTACATTGCATCAGCACAGAAAATATCATTTGCTATAACGTTGACATGTATACAGTACTTTTATATGGTATGTGACTTGTTTGAAATGCAGTCCCATTAATGGCATATAGACAGCATTGCAATAGCCCATCTCAACATCTCCCAATATTACCCAATGCATGGCATGTGCTTGCTATGCCTATGGTAACCCTCCTATCGGTCAGCCTAAAACATGTGAAAGGGGCTGCTTATATAGAGGCGAGCCAGCCCAGGTAACTTGGCTATAGCTTGCTTTCCCTGGACGAATGTCTATTTACATGTCTTATGGGCCTCTCTAGATGGGCTCATGGGCTACGCTCGCCAAAACAAATCACCCAGACTGAGTTGTGTAATAGCAGCACATTTTCAAATAAAGTAAATCAACATCATACTTTTGCAAACAGTTTCGAAATGTAACTGACAAAAACAATCACAGACTGATATCTTTTAATGTTGAAATTGATTGGGAAATGTCATTTTATTAGAAGATTGCATGTAAAATTTAACTGATAGACTTGCATGACATGCTTGATTGAACAGTCACAACATTCATATTTTACATCTGGTAAATATTCTACATT